AGGGGGTGCGTGCGAGTTCTCGACATGGGGCTTGCCTGCCCTCACCCCCTGTGGCCTTCTTGGGGGACCCCCCTCTTTTCGGGTGTGAACCCTTTTCTCCTTTTGGGGGTCCCCCCCTTTCTGAGAAGGACCTTTCCTTACCTTTGATGCTCTACCCCGTGTGCTGAAAAGGAGTGCTTGCGCTCAAGGTTCCCTTGTCAAGTATTGTTGAGAGACTCAAGCTGCTTAAGGGCACCAGGTATAAGGATTGCTAGTGCTTGCACTCGCGGCGTTATACTGGTGCCCTTAACTGTTGAGTTGCAGCTTGAGGCTCAAACCTTTCCTTTCCTTCCAATTTCAGGGCCTTAGATTTTTTCCCACCCACCCACCCAGGTTGGACGAGTGAGTGGCTACGCCTGCCACACCATGTGGCTTACCTTTCAGTCGGGGTTCGGGCGGGGCGCTTGCCTGCCCTCACCCCCTGTGGCCTTCTTGGGGGACCCCCCTCTTTTCAGCCTTGACCCAAACTTGCTGTTTTATTTAAAGCCCACCCACCCACCCTGCACTGCCTTATACAAGACTCTGCAAAAGAGAAGTTGCAGACGCTCTGCACTTCCGATGATGGTCTTGGACCACTTGGTCTCCGGACAGCTTACGGTCTCCGGACCACTGGGTCTCCGGACCACTGGGTCTCCGGACCGCTTGTGGTCTCCGGACAACAGATCGTGCAGGTTTGAGCAGAGCCGCAGCTTGCCCTTTTCTGACCACAGACTCCAGTCTGCTGGTTGGGCGTGGGCACGCTTGCCACGCCATGCACGCACTGCATGCATTTGCAAGGACACGCATTGTTTTGGTGTGTAGTTTTATGGGGGTCAACGCACTTCCTGCTCCAGGCGCCCCGTGCCCTGGAAGCAGTGCTACTTTTAGCAATCTAAAAAGAACTGCGGCCGCTTCGGACTTGCATTGTTCTTGGGTGGTTTTGTTTGGGTTTAAGCTAGAAGCAGTGCAACATGCCTTAACAAAGAGGATGACCAAAACACACTCTGTCCAAAAGGATGGCCTTGACGTTTGGCTAAATTGCCACGATCAGCAAGGAAGAGCTGGCTGCTGCTTCCGTTCCGCAATCTGTGGATGCTGCATCGGCGCCCGCATAGCAGCAACTGACGGCTCCATTGGTTGGCTTTCTGGCTTCTGCTTGGCTTCTAGCTTCTGACTGGCTTCTCGTTGGCTTCTGGTTGGCTTCTGGCTGGCTTCTAGTTGGCTTGGCTGGGTTGGTTTGGACGGACAAGTGTGAGAAACCCCATAGGTGCGTTAAAACCCGTTTGGAGAATCCCTCTAAAAAGGTAAAGAGAGAGCCCGCGCAGAATTTACGGAGGCAATTCTGTGGCCCAGGATTAACAGGGGGCAATTCTGACCGGAACCTTTGCTGCAAAACAAGAGCCCAGACCTTGTCCCGCACCTGTGCGCACCCATAAAGCCAAAGAGACCGAAAACAGGAAAGCATTGTTTGACATGCAAGTAAAGGCGGTGACGCATCACGGGGACCAGCCACGCAGTTGGCGCCTTTTGTCGCAGGCGACATGTTCAGTTCTCAAGGTTTCCGTTTTGCTTTCCTGCCATGGCTCTCCCTGGCGCATGGCCAACACTGTCGCCGACGGGTGGTTGCTATTCGCGCAGGCCAAAGGCGGCATCTGGCAGCAACTTCTTGCCAGTGCCCAAGCGTTTCGCTCATCTACCACCGCCCACTCGGACTGTACACATCTGCTCGTGCGGCCCAATGATTGTCGGAATGCTTGTATTGCGGGCCGCCCGTCGTCCGGCTCGGAGATTCTGGAGTTCCCGTTGCGTGCGGACAGCTCAAAGGGGACCAAGGTCGGGGCACGTCAAAAGGTCAGCCGGGGTACACACTGTTGAACAAGCAGATGCGTTGTAAACAAGATTCGCCACCAGATGTGCTGGCCTAGGATACAATGTTGGCGCCAATTCCAAACACAAACCTGCTAAACCTGGCTTAAACGTTTTGGTCGGGGATTCAACTTATTGCAATTGGGTTTCATGATTTGCTTAAGAAGATGTGTTCTCCCTTTTTGGCTGTGAAGGGTGTCTATCACTATTCGAAAAACATGTATTCTTTCCGGGAGAATTTAGCAATGGATGGTTTCATCCATTGGTTGGTTGAAACTTTGGACCCGCAGCTGCTTTGCTGGGTCTTAGCTTCAGGCAAAGCGGCTTGCTTGGCCAAACCACCGGCATGCCTGGTGCAGACGTCGACGGTAGCACCAATGCAAAGAACGCTCCTGGATTGAGTTTGGCCATGTGCAGGAGGGTCATGAAGGAGTCAACAGGCCAGACGTAGATCCATGAAATGTCTATGAATACAATCTGTGTATAGGATCCCACAGAAACATGCACTTGCAAAAAACATGCTCATACGACTCATCTCGTTCGTGATTTTGCATCATTCGGGGCGCACACTGCAAAATCTGCCTGCAAACCAAATGGTGACCAAGTCGAGCTTTCCCTGGAACCCAAACATGGCACATTGCTCCTGAGGTAATTGCCAGGGATTCTGATAAGCTTTTGTTTTTTTGGGTATACCAGCGGCTTCTTCAGTGCATTTCGGAGCGAACAGAAAGCAAGCACGTGCTGCCTACATGATAAGATGGTGGGGCCTGAAAAAAAGGATCTCAGATTTGGCTGACCAAAAGAAGGCGCCCGCATGTTAGCGTTTGGGCAAATGTTATGCAGGGACAGCTTGGGCTCGTTTTCGTGAAATCCCTGGCTGGAGGGCCAGTGGACTTGATCGGGAAGCAGCCAGGTGGCTTCTGCAGGTTCATTTCACCCCAGCATTTGCCATGTCCCAGAGGGCCGTGATTTCCCATATCAGCAGGAAGCTCCTCATTGCTGCCTAAAACTACGTTCTGTCCAGTCTTCCAGTTCTGGCGGTCCAACTTCGTTTGTCGCCGTTCTGGTGGCCAAGATGCTCACGCTCAACTGCTACAGAGGTAAGTTTGCATTGCAACTAAGGAATTACAGAGTTTCTAGCACACTCATGACTGGGGCCCAAGCACACTTTCAATGTGGGTCGATTCAGTCAGATGTTTCTCAATCATTTTTTTCGCCGGCCAAACCATGCACTTTCAGAGCTTCTTCCATTTGTGTCCACACTGGCTCCTCCATGTCATCATTGCATATCATTGCCAGCATGCTCAGATGAGACCCCCACAGGAGTAGTGTGCACCGAAAGCAATATCAGTGAGTTGTTTGCGCCAAAGATCCAATGTCCGAAGCCCGAAGCCCCTACAGCAAATGCAGAGCAGTAGAAAAACATGGCGCAAAACCGTGTTATGATTGTCTTCCTCGCCCGTGCCAGGTTCCTTTTGGGATGAAGATCTCTCCAAGCGCCTGTGATGAATGCCAGGGAGGGACCTGATTGATTTGTCTTGTGCTTTTTGCCCGGCTATGACATTGAACCCATTGGAATCTTCGGGGGGTTTTGGGGGGCGGGGGGCTATCTCTGGATAAGCCCAGGATAACTCAAGGATAAACATAAGGCCTTATTAAGGGCTTAATGAGGGATACCCCCCCCTCCCCATAGCCACCCCGACCTTGTTGGGGGTCCATGATTTGTCGTAGGTAGCTTGTTACAAAGACAAAGGCTGTTCAACCAACTGACATGACCCCGCTAATATGTGCTGGCCCAAGAAGCTTTGCTACAACTTGTGCATGCTTCAGCTTGTTGTGCCATCTTGGCCGCGTGGGGCATGCAGTAGGAGCTGAGCCCCAAAAACTGATTTTGCATACAGACACTGCAAGCATGTCCTTGGCAACGAAGGGATGGGCAATTCACAATGTGGGAGGGGGGGGGGGTGCTCTGCTCCTGTTGGCATACCCCATTTTATCAGAGGAGAATCAGGGGGGTGGGGGAGGGGGGCAGATGTCCAGAACAATTTTGTTTGTGGCAGAAACAGCAAGCTTTGGGTGGAAAGAGCCTGCGAAAGTGTTTGGATTTGGTTGGGTGCGTTCTCTTTGTGTTTCATGCAGCCGGAGTCGTGGCATTCTAAGGTTCTGAGAGGCAAAAGGCAGGAACAGGTGTGCAACCCTTGATACTTGCCATGCACACCCGAAGCCCATGGAGTTTATTCGGGCTAAACTGGACACATGAAGAACGGCTTTCACGGAGAATTTGGTTCTTAATCGGGAGTGCATCAACACTTTGAGTTTGTGTCGGATGCCTTGGCCCCAATGTACTCCGACCCCTCCGCAAAAAGGCACAAAAGGAGTGTCCTGTTTCCCGCAGCCAGCTGGAGCCAACTGGGGTCAGACAGAATCCGGGATAAGTTGAGTGGTCCAAACCAGGCCCAACCCTGTCACCCGGGACGGCCGTAAACGATCCTGCTGATTGCATGTTTCGGTTGGGGAACGGTGGGTTTATGTTGTCACCAGAGCTAGAGTGGCCGCCTGGAGGAAACCAGCCTTTGCCATCGAGGGGGCTTTGCCCAAGAAGCTAAGCCTACCCAGTAGTCTAAAAAAATCTGGGAGTCAACATCTCTATTTCTGATTGTTGCTGGAGGAAAATGGGAGTTTGTATTTCAGGGCCAGCCCAATTGCCGTGGACAAGTCGTTTTGTTGGTAGGTGCCGGGCTTGCAGCATGCGAAATTCTTAAAGTGTCCATCAAAATCTGCGGTAGTTTATGGTAAGTGCCGCGATACGAGAAACTACATAGTGTGCTCGGCAGGGCCCCATGACTTGTTGGTTCAACCTAGAGCATGTCCATTTGCTGCCTTGATTCTGCTCCGCTGTGCTATCAAGGCAAGTGTCAGGTATCCATTGGCAGGCTCTTACCAAAGGCTTACACCCGTCTAAACCGTTGCGCTTGTGCAACGCAAAGGACCAAGGAAGGAGCAAAGGCTGAAGGGTGTAAATCAAAACGTGGGGCAGCTTGACCCAGGTGCAACCCTGCAGAATTTGCTGCGGCATTACCCCAGCGGCGGCCAATTCTTTTTGGAGGCCCTACAGAATGCGGAGGACACAGACAGGGCCACCCACTTTTGCGCTCTCCTGGAGCTTCGGATAGCTGGGGGGCGCTGCGGGTTTCCTCGAACATTGTTGATGGTGTTTCATGAGTTTCCTAGAGTGGGTTGCTTTTGTTTCAGCTGTGAATAGACGGGCCCTGGTGCGCTGGAAGATTGCTTTGGAGTGGACAACGTGTAGTGATGGCACTGCTCAAGAATCTTACAGATTACAGAGAGGGCAATGGAGCGCTCCAGAGCAACGCAGACACTACGTGCTGCCTTGAAGCACCAAATCTTCACCCCATTGTTGCAATGGCATGCTTCGAGTTTAAAAGTACTTGTGGAGACGCCCGAGTGAGCGCTACATCAGCGGAACGCGGGGCGCGTTGTGGGTCGAAAGCTCGGGATCTTTGCAACACCTTTTGGAACACGACCCTCCTCTCAAAGCCTCCAACACTGACGACAGTACCAATCATTTGCTTCAAACGCAAGCGTCACGAGCCCTCTGTTTGCGCTGCTCAGGAGTGTGTATATAACAGTGTCACATATCCCCTGGTCGGCTGGTCCATAGATTGTGTGGCTGGCGTCAGTAAGTGATCTTTGTATGAATGCTAAAGTATTCCTCGCTGCCACGAAACGCCGCTCCAAGGACCTGTCAACGCATCCTATCGAACAGATCCGGCCGCAGCAGAGTGTGTGGCGGCGGCGTCTTCAAGGTCCTGCCATTTTGTTCTATGATAACGGCGGCTTTCGCGATAAAGTGCCCTGGCGCGATGTAAGTTGTTTCCCCTGAAGCGTTACCCTTCACGGGATTTTCTCGAGGAAGGTAGGCGGTCGGAACTTGTTGTAAGAACCGTGCCAGAGTACCCAACAATCAGGGGAGAGCTATGTAAGAAGCTCAATTGGGCATTCAAACGACGCGCCGTTGAGGGTTGCACCTTCAGAGGTTCCTATGTCTTGGTTAAATCATTTTTGCTATCACCAGTTTGCCCCTTAGAGTTTCTAAATTGGGGTAGCTTGAACAATCATCCCCTGAATTTCGGGGAATTGGCTGAGGTGAGCATTCCGATTCTGTTTAATTGAACCCTGCACAGGCCACCAGGATCTTGCTGCATGTTGGTGGGGCGATTCTGGAAAGGACCCAGCTGGAATGGCTTGTTAGGGTGAGACTTGCATGGTGGTTGGATTATGCGAGGAGATCGGAACTGAGCAGAATGCAAACGGTGTCTTTCTACTCCCAAATACCACTTCTCAACCACCTCATGTCTCATTTTGGAGTGGTTGAGGGGCAGCCACAATCCTGTTTTCCGTTTGTGCAGTAGGCTAACAAATTTGGTTCCTTACCAGAGCTCAAAGCTTAGTTTTGTTCGGAGCCATCGGGCAATTCTGGAAGCACTTTGGTGGATCACGAGTTTCAGGCAACCCTTTTTATTCGGAGGCAATGCGCAGAAGCTGAGTCGGGCCATTCTCCCGTTCTAGGTTTTTGGAGGGCTGATTCTGCTTAAACCATGGTCACCGCCTGAGTGACCGCTAGCCTGAAATCGAAAGGGCGTGGCCCCCTAGCCCGATCGCACGTGCTGTCTCGAAGAAGCCAGGATTGGAAGAGTTTGCAGCAGATCTACAACAGCTCAAAGAAACACAGCCCCAGTGAGGTGGGCAAGTACGGCATGGGATCCAGGAGTGAGGGCCTTGAGCAAAACAACCATGGGGGCGCTCAAACCTAAATGAGGATGTTCAAGCACTAGTGGGTTTCGATATGCTTCAAGAGGTGGTTGTTCAACCCTGCTGCTTCGATAGGGGTGAACATGAAGCACCAACCAAAACCAACTCCCTTCGCATGGCACGTCCCTTGAAAAACCCCTCGCCACGGAGATTTAGCCACGATATTCGGGCTATGTGTTGTGGGTCGCTTTCCTGTTGGACCTCTACCCTTTGTTCAGGAGGCTTTTCCTTCTAAACACTGGTTTTACACAGACCCCTTGTCCAGGAGTTTCTTCCACATTGGTGACATCCTCCAGATTGTTTCGGGCAGCAAGTATGCCATTCTGGATCCAGACGAGCGGCTCTCCGAAAACGGTGAGTAGCTCGCCTTTACTCAGAATGATCGAATGATCTCAAGAACATCAGATTCAATTTTGCATCACTCGTTTTGGCCGGTGTGCTTTCAAAGGTATGGAGAAAAGTTGGACTTTCTCGCGGACACTTTCGACGGTCAGCGTTTTGTGGACGCCTTCCCAGACGAGTGCTCTCCCTTCCATGGCCTCGGCCACACCATGCAAGAAGCCTTGAATGGCACGATCATCCGCGCGCCTCGGATGTGACGGAACTGACATGGCCGTGGGTCAAAATGAAGCCACCAGGATATGGACCGCAGGTTTTAGTCCATGGTTCCATTTACAGGGGTTCCCATTTTAGGTACATATTTTTGACCCACTGCCACATTTCTTGGTCCACCTCACGGATCGGGGGTTAAGACCGATTCCACCTCCCATGGTTCCAGCAACGGGAATCGCGTTATGTCAGGAACAGTGGAAGCCATGCTCAGATTTGTTCCCTTGGCACCTTTGATGGGCAAGTGTCAGGCGGATTTCTATCCAGCTGGGCCGGAAGATTGTTGCTGGCTTAGCCTAAGTCCAAAGAGCAAGACTTCATTCCTAAACGAATTTGGAACATGGCAACCAGGCCATGCACCTCTGCAGAGGGCCCTTGCAGCCTTGTATAGGTATTCCTGACTTCAAGTGGAACTTTCGAGTTTGCCTCAAAAGCTCTGAACTGATTGCATTTGTCTGCCTGAGGTGCATGATCTTTCCCGATTCAAAGCGCTGCCAGCAATCGCCCTTGTTATGGAATTCCTCCAAGCACTTGCTGTGGCAAAACTAAATTTGATTTAATTTTCTTGTAATTTTCCTTTGTGTCCATAGCATTCGTAGGAAGAGTTCACTTTGGAATGATGGTCAGTTTCTGAAGCGCGACCGTACTCAAAGCCACCTGAGGTGCCACTGAGGGCGCAGCAGTGGGCGGCCGAGTCAAGTTTCATGCCTGAAGCCTTCACGCTGGAAAGAGCGTCGCATATTTTTGAGGACTGCCAGTGTTGCTTTGGCTCCGTTGTCCAATGCCTACCTTTTACCTGTTATTGTGTATTTCCCAGAGGGCCAGGACTTGAGTAGCATTGTCGCGAGGAAGCATTGGAAACTTCTGGGCTCGTCCCCAGAACTGCGCTTGGCTAGAGTCTTTGGGAAGAACGCGTTGTGCGCAGTATCCAGGAATAGGACCCAGCTATATGAGGCAAGTGACACCACCATCCGGCCAGTGCATGGCTTTGGTTGTCAGTCCTTCTGTTGAGCTGAAAAGTCTCAGGTGAGGGGTGGTGCATCGTTAGAAAAGCCTGGGATGTAAGCCAAATTCAGAAGGCCTCACGTCATGAACGGGTTGTAGTTTGTGTCTGTGCCGCGTGTGGTTGGGTGGATGTACCTTGTTCCTTTTTGGGCGGCGGGTGGCAGGAAGGCATGGTGAGCATCATGGTTGTGGACAAGAAATTGGAGGCTTTTGTGTGATACCAAGCGGTTCTCCTAGGTGGCAAAGTGAGTTGGCACCGCAGAAAGGGAAACTATCCTCACAGACAAATGTTTGGTACCAGCGGGGGAGAAGTAATTTGGTCCAGGGCTCACATGCAACTTTGTGTCCACTAAACATCATATTAACATCGAAACGCCAAGGTTTTGAACGAGCGTGCCAAACAGGACCCCAATGTGAGCGAAATGGTTTTGGAACGACTGGAATATGGGTGTGGCTCACAGTTAAAGAACTAGAGTTACGTAGGCTGTAGTCTTTGGTTCCATTTACCAAAGGCGCCATGTTGGGTATATTTTGGTACCCGCTTTTGGAGCCATACCCATCTCGTCCTTGGTGGGGGGGAGCGGGGGGGAGCGGAGGGGGGGGGGAGGACTTTGCGAAGGCCTTCAGCGGTCCCATGGCCCTGTTCCTCTGCCGCGTCTCGCGGCTGGAGCTCTTCGTCCGCAAGGAGAAACTCCTCCGCGTGGCCAGCCTGGAGCTGCGGCCGGAGCCGGCGCTGCCCGGGAAGGAGTTGGTGAAGGTGAAGGACGGCGGCGATGGCGCACCTTGCGGCGTCGGCTGTATGAAAGGCGCAGCACCGCCACCACCATGGCTCTAGGTTTTTTTTTTGGACCGGTTTTAGGGTCAGCCTGGTTGGGACGAGACATTTGGACGTGTGTTTGTGACTGTTGCAGGAGTTTCTGAAGAAGTTCGAGACCGTAGAGCAGCTCCAGGCGACTCGGGAAATGATTAGAAGTTAGTAGAAGCATGGCCACCTTGCTGAGCGCATGAGCGTTCAGCGTGTGTTCTCCTTGACAAAGCATGCGCAATGCAAGATGCTCTGTGTTGCAGGAACAGCTACGGCAGGGAACACCTACGCCTGAAGTGTTGGACATAGTGCGGATGGAGAAGGCTGGCAAGTTTTCATATCTCCTGTTTCGGTCGGTGCCTAGTGTTGCTTGCACTTTGCGAATTGCTGCCATGGAGAATATTCTGTCTCATTGAGGGGTGGCGCGTGTTTTGACCGCTCCTGCGGGGCTGGATTTGTGTTTTTCTTAGAGTACTTGCAACGCTGGCATGGCCTCATTCGCTTGCGGGCTTTCTTGCTCGCTTGCGGGCTTTCTTGCTCGCTTGCTTGCTTTCTGGTTGGCTGGCTGGCTCGTTGGCTAGCTGGCTTAGCTGCTTGGCTGGTTTTGTTGGCTGCTTGCTGGCTTGGCCATTCAACCTCCAGGCTTGCCTGGCTTTTTTTGCTTCTTTTGCGTTCTTTGCCTGCTTGCTTGCTTGGGTGCATGCGGCGTGCGTGCTTGCCTGCTTGCTCGCTTGTTTATGTGTGGACAAGGGTATTGCTTGGCTTTGTCAAGCCGTTCTACACGCGCACTCTGCAAGTAGCTTGCTTCTGCTGAAGCTGAGGTTTTGGCTTTTGGACCAGAAACCAATAGAAGACCCTGGCTGACCACTTGAGACGACAAGCTCTTTTGATTTCAACGAGATGTTCGCTTTGAGAGTGCTTTGCAGATCACCAGCCCCACGGACGACAAGGGCCAAGACTTCGAGGACCCTTGATTCAGAAGAAGCCTCGAGTGGAGAGGGCGGCCAGCAGCTTTTCCTTTCTCAAACACACCTGAGCCACAAGCAAAACCCGGGTAGATGCAACCATAAATAGCTTCGGGCGCCTTCTTATTTCTTGACATGGTTCTGGGTAGACCGTTTTTAATACCGGGTTTTGATTATATCACACCTGGGTAAGCACCAGGTGCACTTCTCGGAAGTTACATGGCAATAGTTGAAGGCGGGCGGAATTTTAAAGTTCACAAACATTCCCAATTTGCGATCCTATTCTAACTGCAAACCTCATGTTCCACCACCTCTTGAAGGAGCATTGTTTTGGCGGCCGAACTTGTTGCCTTCCTTTTTTCATAGGTAGCGGATGGTTGGCCCTTGAATTTGGGCACAGGAGGAGGTCAAGGAGGCCAAGGAGGAGGTCAAGGAGGCCAAGGAGGAGGTGGAGAAGGCGGAGAGGAAGGTGGCGATCCTATTCTAACTGCAAACCTCATGTTCCACCACCTCTTGAAGGAGCATTGTTTTGGCGGCCGAACTTGTTGCCTTCCTTTTTTCATAGGTAGCGGATGGTTGGCCCTTGAATTTGGGCACAGGAGGAGGTCAAGGAGGCCAAGGAGGAGGTCAAGGAGGCCAAGGAGGAGGTGGAGAAGGCGGAGAGGAAGGTGGAGAGGGCGAAGAAGGAGGTGGAGAGGGCGAAGAAGGAGGTCAAGGAGGCGAAGGCAAGCGGCCGGACGAAGGAGTCCGAGGCGGGCGGAGTCGGTCGCTTCCGCCGGCCGGCTGTGTTCTGAGCCGTTGGTCGTTGTGTGCGGTTCTGAAGTTCCCCGCGCGGCCCGCACATGGTTTTGGTGGGGCTGCCCTAAAACTCTTGCAGAGGCGGAGGGCATTGAAAAAGACTGAGATGGCTTGGATTGAACTGCAGTTGGGTTGGTTGGGTCGGTCGGTTTTTTGTATTCGCGGCGGTTCTCAGGTAGGAGGCAGCTCTTCGCGCTGGCTGCGCTTCGGGCGCTTCTTCAGCCTCGAGGAGGTGTCGTCTCCGCCGGAGGAGGTGCCCTTCGTATGTGCTTCGGCGGTACTCTCCCTCGGGCAGCAATGCCCTGTTTGGTCATCACCCCCCCATGGAAACAACAAAACAGTTTCTGTTTTTTGTATATATATATATATATACACACACATATGTTTAATCTATTTATTCATGTATATACATACATATATTTATTTATTCATTTTTTGTTTGATAACTGCTCCTTAGAACCACCTCTTTAGTTCATTCGCCGCCCAGGCCTGGCGCTTCCGCTGGACGGGCCCTGCGAGGGCTTGGCCTTTGCGCACCTGCCGCTCTCCATAAAGACAGGACCCGAAGTCGCACCGAAGCCATGAGGAGTGGTAATCCCATGGGGCTCCATGGGATTCCAACCCAAAGCCATGGAGTAATGTTGACCCCGGACAATCTCAACCAACCAGTTGATTGATAAGGGGTGCTTCTTCTCCCTCGGTTTAGTGGGGAATCAAAATCACTAGAGGGACACCACCTGGTATTAATAAAAAGAGGGGTTGATTAACATGGTCAAGATTCTGTGGAAAACAAGGGGGTTCCATTGCTGTGTTTCGATATTGAGGCATCAGCTGCAGGGACCTCATATCTTCCTCGTTGTTCGAGTTTGGCTGTGGTGAGGTTTTGCAGCAGCCCTGAAGGTGTACTTAATCTCAGGTTTCTCGATTTTTCGAGGAGGACCAGATTGCCCTCCTGGATTGCGACTGGTTCTCTGGGCCTAGCAAACTTTACCGCTCTACGGCCTCCCAAGGAAATGTCATGAATCCGTTGTGAGCTACAAGAGAATCTTACTCTTGTAGCACCCTCTCGAGAGATTGTACACTTGCCGCAATTTGCGAGCACTTGGCTGTTAATTGTCCTTCGTTGTTCTTTCATGGAGATGGCCATGCCAGAGTTACAGCTCAGTGCCGGCTGCGTCCGTCCAGCAGTGTTTTGGCAAAAGAAAAGTGGAACCAAGGATATTTCTGGGCCCCAGAACTCGTGCATATCGAAGCATCCTGTTGAATTGGATGAAGCGGCTACCCAAAGCAAGCTTACCCCCAGTAATGTTGAAAGTGGGAAGGCGCTTTTCGCAGTAGGTATTGCCGATACATCTAGCGTTGTCTTGCCCTTTTGCGTGCAAGAG